CCACCTTTCGCATCAAACTATTGGACAAGAGATTACCCTGGCTAAAGGACTGTGGATGAGGGAGTTTGATAAACCAAATTTGAGGATATGAAACAAACATTTTTGCCAAATCTTCCTTTTGCCCACGAGCTCCTTTCTTCCGTCTAAAAATCAGCTATCTACTGCGTTGAATATCTTCGAAGCTTTTCTATTTCTTTTCCTCGCCAGCACGTGAAATAACTAAGTACCAAGTACTTGCAAGGATATGGACTAATGGGAGAATCAAGGGGAGAAAGGCAACTTTGAGAGAGAGAGTAAAGGAAGAACAGAACAATGAACTGAAAACAGGGAGCTAAGAGGTTTCTACCGATTGAGTTGTGAACGTCTTTAATATAGCGACGCGATTGTTTCTCGTCACCGTAACGGCTGAAACGTTAATTTAGATACCAAAGTCGTATGAGAATATTAAGAATAATCGCTGAATATAACTAAGGAGTGCCTGACCTCCTTTCAGGTCTCAGTTCCCTTAACAAAGTGAGCAACTGCTATCATTAAAAGACGTGAAAACAGATCAAAGAGGAATTGGTTTTTCCTAGTGGCGAAATCGAACTGTCCCCTTCAACAAATAAAATAGTGCTGCTTGACATTACACCAAATGTGCTTGTGCTGTAAATCGAAAAATTCTTACGAAATGATCGCGATCCGAGTAAGCGCTCCTGGCATACCGTTTTGTGTCATGCCAAGAATCAAATTCTAGTGATTGCAATGCGTCGTAGTGTGAACTGGTGAATTTCGTTTGCTTTGTTGGTGTTGTTCGTGCTGTTGCTGTTGGACTGAAGGAAAATGCTGTCCGGGGCGCCACACTCTGCCCACGCCGCTCCGTTGTGAATAACTCATCCTCAAATGTGACACTCTTCGGCGACACCGGCACCGACACTGAAATGTACAGTACTGTATGTTTACAGTACCAAACATCAATTAATCCTTTACAAGTTAGTCGGTGGAAACGTTTGGCTCCTCCTTGTCCTCATCTTCCACACCCTCTCATTCTCACTTTACTTCCCTTGATCCTCTCATATGGCTCACATCTCTCTAACTAATTGATTCATATCAGTCAATATAATTGCTATAAGGAATTTGCCGCTGAG